CGTGTCTGTGTGTGTGTGTGTGTGTGTGTGTGTGTGTGTGTGTGTGTGTCGCAGCTGTTTTTGTTTGTGTGTGCATGTTCATACTACACAGCTTAGCCTGAACATGTGTATGTGAGACTTATCTGTGTCTGTTTCAAAATCCGCATCAGCTCATGTCTGTATGTGTGTCAGTAGCAGCTGTGTGTGCGTCAGTCCCCAAAACACGTCCGCTTGGGTTTCTCTAGCCCCGCTCGTCGCTCACAGAAACAAAGCTTCTTTTTCCCATGACTTTGCAACCTTTTCCCAAACAAGCACTTCTCCATTCAGCCCAGCGGAACAATAGTTTCTCACAGTCAACATGGGAGGAGGCGGAGGGGCACGAGAGGAGGAGACCCTTGTTATGGGCCAATCATATATTAGCCCTAAATCACCTCCTTAAAAACACACATTTGACTTGTGTCTAACACACAGGCCGCTAACATACTGTGAGCAAACACTTGCGTCAGAGACAAATATAGCAGTCCTGAACTTTGAGTATGTTTACAGTTTAATACAAGATGTTACTGAGGTCAAAAGCCAGATTCCACTTCCAAAAGAAGGAAAATAAGCTTTAAAGTCAACACGAAATAAAAAGTGACCCTATTTACCTTTTTAATAAATATTCCTGGTCTTATTTTTAACAGTACTTCAGTACAAGTAATTCAAAACAACAACATTTTTCTTTTTCTTTTTGGCCTTTTTTTTTTTTGGAAACTTTTTTCTGCAGTCCAACCCTTGTCCTCATCAAATAATCTGTTTTACTCTCATATATGAGTCACATTAAAGGAGTCAAATAGATAGTCAGTGCTATTTCATGTTGACTTTAAATTGTAGGGCCTGTAGCACATTTAAAACTCCTTGAAGAGTTACTTCTCTCCTGAAATACACACACAGTTAACACATATATCCCTCTCAGTGTGGGGCCACTTCTTTAGGCTCTTGGGGGTAACGTGCATACACACTCTTTCATTCTTATTAAAGCTGTCTCCACTCAGGACCCCTCACGAGTCCCTCGCAGGACCCCTGACGGTTATCCAACCAGAAACACAGGCTCTTGGATGAAAGAATACACCTGCCGAGAACCTTGAGGCATACATGCATGAAATGCAGGATACATGTAATGCATTTCCATGCTTAACGAGAGGCGTAATGTTGAGAAAGACCTGTGGGCGCTGTGGCTGAGAGCTGCCCACTGGTATAACCTCCTCCTGAGCGCCGCTGTACTGTAACACTTTCCCGCTGTCTGTTCGCTTTTCTCTCATTAGCAGCCTCCTTTGAGCACACCTCCTCCGGCTCTGCAGGGCGTCGCGCTGGTGTTAGAAAATTTCCGCTACCCAGCGCAGGCGCTGAGGTGAGGCTCCTCCGCTGTCAATGTGGCAGTTAACACAAGTAGCCAGACCTCCCATGAGGAGCTGCTTACGTTGGCTTATTTGACATCGAACGTCAGCCATTTAGCACGGTGGCATTAGCCGCGGCTAAAGAAACAAGCACTGTTGTCGCATATTTTTGCTAACTAAATAGTTTAAGTCTTCAGACACGGTGGCGACAGAAACCAGTGGCTGCTTATAAAACACATATTAGAGTCAACCTACGTTTCGGGAAAACGAACCTAATAAAGAGCTTCCATGGCAGTAGCTTATACATGTCAAACACAGCATGATCGCTTCCTAACTCAATCAGACTCATTTGCTGAGCGTCAGTGCCTCCTCAGGAATGAGAGTTAAAAAGAAGGTTGAAGAGAAAAAAAGACAACAGGAGCGTTAACGCATCAGAGTTAGACCAGGTCCTGTGCACAGGAGCGGCTAACCCAATTGGCTGTGTAATTGTTTAATTTGTCTCATTACACCTAAATGAATGTAATTGGTGTTTTTCCTGCATGAAGTGGCCGCACTGGTTGTGTGAACTTGGCTTTGTGCAGCACTGCGGATGACGGTGGGGGGGTCTCTCATTACATGTTCCCAATTGATATGAGCACTCACTTTATATTATTAAGAATATTTCAGGCAGCATTTAAGAGTTTCTAAAGATGAAGTATGTAATTTCTGCACAATTAGCATTATCAGTTGTTTATTATGAAAATATTAGCACCTTATTGTGTACAATTTTCAGGATAACCAACTTATCAGCATATTTCATTGAAATTGAAGTAACAAAATTGCATGTTCAACCTATATCTTTGTGGTGTCTCTAAGTTGACCTTAAAAGATTGACTTTTGGACAGACAATAAGGAATATTTGTGTGTCTGTGTACATGTTCTGACTGTGGGTATGTTCAGTTTTCCTGGAAAGAAAACAGGAAGGGAGAGAGTGTGCTAGACAGACATGTCTAACATGCTCATTCAACTCCTATTTGTAAGTAAAGATTCGGGCCATAGGATCAACAAGACATTGAGTGAGAGAGAGAGAGAATGATGAGGGAAGTTCAACCTTAAAAGAAGGATGCGCAGAAAATTCTCCAAAGTGCTATATGTTCAACAAGGAAGCCAAAATGAGGGAAATTAGCAGATACAAAGTGTTATACATGTCCATTTCTACCTCTACTTCCTCTCCAAGTGCAGAACAACTGTGTGTTACCCAAGCGACTGGCCCTGAGCAGCATATAACAGCCTGGTGTGTGCCCGTGTATGCGTGTCTTGGTGTGTTTGAGTGTGTGGGGAAGGCTTCTCTCAGCCCGGTGGTTGGCAGCTAATGGGAGTTATTTGAGGAAGGACACACAGGCAGAGGACCAGATGGGCGCTGCGTTATGCCCACCTACAGCGGGCGGCTGACGCACCTCCTGCACTCACACCTAATGGGGGCCTAATAAAAGGCTGGCTGTGCAGACACAGGCTCGCCACTCAATTTCATTAGCCGCTAATCAGCCAAAGGTGCCCTTGGCTCACGGAAAAGGACTGTTCGCTGGAAAAAAATGAGAGGCATACTTGGAAAAAAAAGAACGAAGGGCATGAGTGAGAAAATGGACATGCGTTTGCAATTGGAAAGAGCAGGGTTGTTGTTTTGGTGGGGTTCGAAAATGCCACATTTGTCTGGAATCCGCGATCAGGCATGGAAAAGAGAGATCAAGCATCAGTCATGTGACCTCAATGCTACTCTTTATTGGTCTAGACTTTGATCATTTTCCAACAGCTTTTTTTCTCCATAGAATATTTGACTTGTAAAGGTTACATATAAAAACAAACCTACAGTAAGAGCTGAGATTAACTAATAATTTCCAAAATTTCTGGTCTAAAACTACACTACACATAATTCTGAGTGAGCTAAGTAAGCTCTGCCTTGAATCCAACATTAAGATGAATCATTGCTGTGGAGAACTGTGAAAAGAACTGGTCCCACTTTATATTAGGTGGCCTGAACTACTATGTACTTACATTTAAATTAATAATTTAATACAGTCCACTTATTGCGTACATACATGTTTTTGCATTGTACTTATATTTTTAAAAATACCTGCATGTAAATACATCTGTAACTAATTTCTGTAATTACATTTATAATTACAGTTGACCCATCCCTTACACCTAAACCCACTCTTAAACCTACCCATACCACCAAACCTGTCCCTAACCTTATCCGTATCCCACCTCAATAGCAGCAAAAGTGTTTTGCAATACAATATGAACACAATGAGTACATTGTACTTATTTTTTCATGTAAGTACATAGTAGTTAAGGTGACCTAATATAAAGTGGGACCAAAGAATTTAGCAGCAAACTTCTGTAAAGCATTGTGAAGCAATGTCAAGCAAACATTCCTACATGCTCAGGTAATTTTATTGCAAAAAATACTTTCTACATATAATCAATCATTTCAAGATTTTAATATTGTAATGATTTTAAGTACTTTATTTGTAAAACATTTTCCTTTTTCAAAAACTTAACACTCCATAACATACTATATATGTATACTAATACAATATAACCAAACTGGTTACCCCATACCACCCTATGATTACAGTTTTTAAATACTTTTAATACTTTAATACTTTGGTTGAAATCCCAATGGAGGACATGAATGGGAAAAATACTTACAGACCTAAAGCTGCTAAAAGAAGTGGCTACGGTCCCTGTTGAGCTCTATTAGGGCCATGATAACTCACCCTAAATTGACATCCCACAGTTGTCATGAAGGAACACGCTCATGAACAGGAGACAACATTGATGGCTAAAAAAGGAAGCTGGCAATGTTTAACCAGGTGTATAATAAGCCGAGACACTTAATAAAGAGACTCAGGAAGTAGATCCATGTATGCAAAAGCAGATTGTCCGCACGTGTTTGTTTGAGTGTGTGCGCAATTTTGATTGTATCCACCAGGGACAGTCCTTTCGTACTGACGCCTGCACCAGACTGGCACTCATCGCAGGCTGTCTGTAAAAGTTAATGGCCTATGCCCACGTCCACGGGGCTAATATTAAGTGCCAGTCTGCAAGTACAGTGCGTGTGTGCTAACGCTGCTATCCAGGCGCAAATTAATTATTAGTTATATGGCTATGTGTCCCCTCTAAAGCGCGAGGTCACTGAGGCCCGCCTTTAATTGCCGGAGCATATGGCTGGAAACAGATTTTTAGCGGTGGGACTCGTTCTTAACCACCGTTCTTGCGTGCATTCTCAGATGTGAGCCATATTGTCAATGCTGGCAGCTATTGTTTCACTCATTTACTTCTTAGAGCAAATTACTCCCTAATAATAGCTCTACCTTAAAGTTTTTCTCTCCTCCGTGCCAGCAAACCTGTTCACACTGCATATGTTAATTATCTGCACATCTTCATTATGTTCAAAAAGCTTTAGGTTCAAGCTGTGCCGCCTGGCGAGAGGCTCTGACTCAGTTTGGTGCCAACTTTCCACTTTTTCCCTTTCCGTTTGTTTCTTTCAGCATTTTTTTCTTTCTTGCTCTCTATCTCTCTTTCTTTTCATATCAACTATGAAAGTTGCAAAGTTAGCCACTCTCTTCTTATCCTTGACAGGTTTTTTCCCTTTTTCTCTTTTGCCATCAGTTTTTCTTAAGGCTGATTAGGTGGGGGTTTTTAAGGTTCTAGCTGTATTTTTTGTATGTTTTATGTATAATAAATAGATAAACCGTTATTATGTATGTTTTATTTTTTTTCTATCATGGAGCTAGTCTATAGGACCAGTCTACAGAGAGCATTTTTGTCTCATTTGACATTTATCAGTTGTAAAAAAACATTCAGACCCAATTAACAGGACAGATTCCTCTGTTTTCTAAAAGTTTTTAAAAGCTTTTCAAGTCATTCTACCGACCAGAGAGTTCAAGGAGCCAGTATGGAATTCATCAGCCAGCTGTTGGCTGATTAATAGAGCTTTACAGAGATTGCAGCTGGAGTTGACACTTTTGTCATAAGTTTTCTGGAATATTCCACAGTTTTCATGTACGTTAGACCAGAAGGGATTCCTTCTATTATTGTTTAGTTGGAACTATTACAAGTTTAACGGCAACCCATCCAATCCCTACAGTGGAGGTACTTTGTTCCAGTCCAAGGTTATTCTTAAGTCTCCTTTGTTTCAGCCCTCTACTTTTAAACACGTCATGCGTTTCTTGTCCCAGCCAAAGTGAGAGATGCTTTGCAGGTGATGTTAACCATTAAAGGCCTTCAATTTAAATCTCCTTTGAAAGCAACTATAAAGTTTGATCCTATTGTTCTCTAATTCATGATGCATGTCAGCTGGATGCATCAAACTGCATTAACTGGCCTGAAAATGTCAATATCAGCCTCACCTACTCTGCGTGGGTAATGCTATTTGCTACATTGATTGAATAGAGAACAGCATGACGGTGTGTTCGAACGCTTTGAGGAGATCCACGAGCCTCTAATTCCATATGCACCCACACACACTTGCTTACATGTCTATGCGTTTAAGAGAAGAGCGTGTGCTTGTAATTTGCCACAAAACACTCCTTGCTCAAAACCACCAGAGAACACAAACGCACACGTGCGCATTGGCTAGCACACGCTACTGTGGCCACAGAGCTGTAGCTCGCGGTGAGGAGACACAGGCAGAACCAGAGGAGCATATGTCCAATTAGGACTGGAAGTTAGAGCCGCACCAGCCCGTGGGGTGTCCTGTGAAATGCAACAATAAAACGCCACTGCCTCCTGATCTGGGAACAGGAGGCCTGCCGTTTGTGGTTAACCAAAATGGAGGAATGATTGCTCTGTGGTAGGAATTCAAAAACCCTCAGCCTCTGTTCATCTTAACATGCGACTGCTGTGATAAAGTTCCTCATCTGCTCTCGGAGCATGTCACTTTAATATATACAGTATTGTCACTTTTGGAGCTTTTGTGCTTTTATCGTCAGTAGAACCATCTGTCCTCTTCTTTTTTTGGGCCTGTGTGTCTCAAGACTCTCCCTTTGCCAAAGTCTCTTCCTCCTTTTTTTAATCCTGGAAATCTTGTGAAGTGGTGTGGCGAGTTGCAGAGCATGGTCCTCTGCAGAAATGGAGGCCAGCTGTTGCCAGAGCATGAAGAAACTCCTTCACATGACAATAATCAAGGGGACCAACTATCCCAAGAGCCACCCGTCCACACCTCACTTGTCCTCAGGTGACAGTTGCTGGACAAGCACAGTGATTAAACTCTCCCTAGGAGTAAACTAGCCAGACAAAGGGTGGTCCCCTTGCAAATTATTCTAGCCAGAAAACATCCATTTAGACAGGAAGTCTAACTGACATGTAAAGCAGCCAACTACAAGTCGTTGTACAAAATATGAAATAGATGATGCCAATTCATGTCCAATTTGGCATTAGCTGGTCAGTGATCAAACTGCGGGTGGTCTGAAAGATTTTCTTCATAGTTGACCTGTTTTGGCTAGACTCTTTGTTTGTGACCAACATCTTAATTGTTTTCTTTCTATCTCTTCAGCAGGTCCAGAGTCAGTTGCCTCCACTGATGATACCCGTGTTCCCTCCAGATCAGAGAACTCTGGCGGCCGCTGCAGCACAACAAGGATTTCTACTTCCTCCGGGGTTCAACTACAAACCAGGCTGCAGTGAGTATTAAAGCAGCATTTCAGTGATGGGTTGTAAAATGAAAGACTTCAGTCCAGTTTATTGTTCACACTAGAAATTTCAAACCAGATTGCTGAAAGCGGAGTCTTCAACCCAATGTTGGGCAGCATCTCCCTCCTGTCTGGTGTGTTATTAAGATCAGCCTACACCACTGATGCCCGTCATCTCCCGCACATGACAGACTCTCAGACTAGACAAACTTACTTGCTTTTGTGTCTCTGTATTTCTTGTTCAAAAGTAGGAACAGGAAAAAAAAGAAAACTTCCTCTGGGGTTTGTGTTTTTGGCCGTAGCAGTCCAACTGTGAAGCAATGTGTTGTTTACCGCGAGAAACGAGGCGGCAAGTGCCAGCAGCGCAGCAGCAGAACGCTCGCGCTCTCACGGGGGGGTAGAGTGACCTGCCCCAGGTTTCTTCATATTAACACAGGCGGCCGCCAGAACACGCATCCAATACGCCTCGCACACGCCTCCGACTCCTCTCCAACTGTACGCGTGCACACACACATTGCATAGATGGCACACTCATACACACTCATGAATGTACATCTCCCTTGTGAGACGGACCGGTCCGCATCTCCAGCTCCGCACACTGCGCTTCGCATTTTCCCAAACAAGTCCCCCCTCCCTCTTCCTCCTCTTGAAGGCCCCCTCTCTCCCAACCATACACCCTCCATTTCAATTACAGCCAGCAGCACCATCAAACCCTGCCCAAAATTTCAATTACGCATGTCATTTAGTTACCATTACAGTGCCTGCTCACGAGGGAGGAAGCCGTCATTTGAACCCCTTAAAACCAGAGCGGAAAAAAGGGGGATGAAATCCCTCCGGTCGCAGGGTCTGGACTAAGGGGACGCTGGTTCCCACCCATTGCTCCCCGGAGCCAGGCCACGGAGCTCTTTCAGTCAGTCTGAAGATGCTGCCTCCTCGCCAACAGCAACATGTTTACTTTCCTTAGTTTTGCTCTTTTGTTACAGCTGTACCCGGGAGAGACATAAAATAGCTGGAATATTTGTGTTTGTTTAGGGACTGAGAGAAAGACGAGAAAAAAAGACAAAACACACACATCTCCCCAGAATACATCCTTGAACCGGGTCCAGGGCAATCTCTAGCCTAGCGGATGAGTATTTTGGGGGGGAGGGAAGCAGTGTATGGGAAAAAAGTTTTGGACCCACTGATGGAGCGTCTGGTTTATTGCTTACTAAGACAAGCTCCGACTTCCTCTACAAACCCCCTTTTACAGATAGTCTGGAGCATCCAAAAGTGAAGCCTTCTGCCTTTGCTGCCCAATCAACAAGTGCATTTACATGCACTTTAAAAGTTACATTTCAGTTGGAATGAAGCAGAAATGCGGTAATTAAATGTATTAATTAATTTACTTTCATCAGATGCCATTTCAATTCCTTCCACCAACTGCCAAACTGCATGCACAGAATGGTGAGATATCATAGATGAAGGGCACGTCAATGCTGGCTTCAAAACACGAACTCCAAAAATCATTGATTCTTCAAGAATAACAGAATTATGCTGTCACTTATCTGATACATTTTAAGACTGTCTATCTGGATATTGAGCAGATGCATCTTTTGCCCCTCTTTCTCAGGGGCCGTTTACATGACGTTTTCAGCCAAAAATGGGAAACTTTTTATGCGTTTTCCCTGTTCGTTTACACAACAATGGCGTTTTGGGGACTGAAAACGCATATTTTTGAAAACGGGTTTCAAAGTGCAAGTTTTTGAAAATGGCACGTCAAGTTTTTGAAAACGCCACCGTTATTGTTTCCGTGTAAACACCCAACACGGGAATCTTTGAAAACGGTGACATCATGCGCGTGCGTAGTACGTGTTAGGTATGTAGACATGCGCAGTACGTGTCGATTTTAAAGGCAAGCACGAACAAACCTATACAACAATGGCGGAGTACATGGTTCTGTTGTTGCTGCTCAAGAGTTTGTTAACGCTTCTTCAGCAAAGTGTTGATTTACTTCACCAATATTACAACCAATAGCGGAGAGGCATCATATACAACATAATCGTCACTTCCCTACAGGTATTGTTTACTAACAAGGTGACAGCGCCAACTACTGTAATACGTAATACAGGGTTTTTGGCTGTTTTCGCGGATATGTGTAAACGCGAATCGTTTTGAAACATTGTCGTGTATACATTAAACTTTTTCTTTTCGCGGATATGTGTAAACGCAAATCGTTTTGAAAACGTCGTGTATAAACCTTTTAAAAACGCAAGGGGAAAAACTTTTCCTTTTTTGACTACATCGTTGTCGTGTAAACGTAGCCTCAGAGCGCCTCTTCCAACCTCTCCTCCCTTTTCAAACAGCATCATTCCATTGTTCGTCACACTTTAAACTCAAAAAGCTGCAGAACAGATTTAGGGCACACTTGTGGTTTCTCATGTAACAGTCCTTTTCAGCGTGATGCTGATA